AGTGTGCAAAAACACACTTATCAAACCCCCCAAACTTGAACTATTGTTTGTCCTCAAACAAGATAGTGACTAAATTCTGAACAAACATGGTTTAATAGCCTGCTACGGCTCGGGATTGGACTAAGTGTTTGATTTGATAAAGATATATCAGTGCAAAAATGACATCAACCTTCGCCTATTAAATGCGTACTTGACGTGTGTGTGTGAGTTCATGCCAACATATTCGGTTCATGATGGATTTGAGTCCCGACCCCGAGTGGTCAATTCTATCCTTACTCGCTCGAGAGATACACAACCCCCCAAACTTATTTTTTTTTCACTCAATTATCCCAGGGTTGTGTTTCGAAACTAGGAATTCACATAGATGTAGTTCTCACCCTCTCGTAGTTTGGATTAATCTCACTATCACAAGTTTACATTTCAACAAGTGACGGCTCTCCTAAATTTGATCGCTTCGATACTCAAGATTAAATTAGGTTACTTGCCTCACCTCAAAGGTATAATTTCTTTAACCAAATGTCCAAGGATTATTCTTCATGTTATCGTCTCTCTTTTCTCTAATTTTTCTGATTTTATTATTAAGCTTCTCTTTTTTTTTTTTTTCAGTTTCATCTTCTCATTTGCTTTCTAATAACCCATGTAACGAGTTTTAGGCCGGTGACTCCCAAACCAGTTGGCTTTAGGGCACTAGGTTTTAAACCCTTGCAGGCTTATTCACTCGAATTATAAAGGCTCGATCAGATGACTTTCAATTAACCTCTTTCCCTCTTACTTTCTATATGACCCTTTTAGCGAGCTTTAGGCCCGTGACTCCCAAGCCAGTTGACTTTAGGGCACTAGATTTTGAAATATCTTTACAGGCTTACTTGCTCGAGTCATAAAGGCATGAAAAGAAGTGTATTGTTCTCACAAATTTATTTTATGCCCTTATTGTTCTAGACATTTAGTTTCCAAAACTAACCCTTAATTTAAGATTTTCACCTAATTTTCACCTGACTGGTCTAGACAATCCACACAATAAAATTTATGCACGGAGCCTCCACTTATCTCAATGCTCTCTTACAATAGCTTAACCATCACCAAACTATCTTAAGGCAGTTTACGGTTTAATTCAATAGAAGGTTATCATTCTTTTTCTATTTTATGCTCAAAATCTAGTCATTTATCTAATATGTCAAGCATGAATAGTGTACACAGATAATTTCAAGTTTTGCATCAACAAGTGTCAGCTAGCCTAGTTGCATCAGATCTAAAGATTTTGCAGTTTAAACTAGTCTAGTTATAACATCATAGCTAGCAAGGTTATCAAGCACACACAAGCATGCATGAAAAAAATTAAAGCAAAAATGAATAAAATGCAAAATATTTTTTTTCATGCACACATGCCGATGAATACAGATAACACAGATACTTAGTTAAAATTATGTCACATATCGATGAACACAGATACTTAGTTAAACACATCAATGAACATAGATGACACAGATACTTAGTTAAAATTATGTCACCTCTCCAAACTTTGGTACTATATTGTCCTCAATATAATATTAACAGAAGATTAAAGACAAAATTTTACGGACAACATAAAAATGAAAATCTAAAATGTGGTAAATAGTATTTCCCTTGAATCAAAATGGATGAGGTCGTGGGAAACTGGGTCCTGCTGTACCATCATCCGGCGAAGGAGGGTGTCGTCCAAGGAGCTGCCACATCATCTCATTCAATTCCCGCATCAAGGTAGACTGCTGTGTCTACTCGGCCTGGATAGCTCTCATGGTCTCCCAAGTTTCATTGACCCTCATTTGGATACCGTCCACCCGACCAACATACATGTTCAGCCGACCATTCATAGTATCAACTTCTCGTTGCATGACTATAGCATGATCCCTAGCATCTCTGATGTAGTTCAACGCAAGGTGATTGTTTCTTTGTAAACTTCTCAATTCAGTTCTCATGTTGCCAAAATCTTGAAAGAAACTATGAAGGTCTCGGCTAATGCCCATGTGGTGAAGAAGATCTGTCTCAGCAACTGATTATCCATGTCAGCTTGTGGTGTTGGAGCCCGTGAGTGTTCCTGATCTTCAGGGATTTGGCCTTGTTTTGCCTGCTATCTACGTCGTTCATTTTCCTGCTCTTCTCTGTGCTTAACCCAAGCCCTTGTCTGAGTGTTAAATGTAGTTCGTTTGATCATGGAGCTGGGTTTTTTAGGTAACTCCTCAGGTAAGAGGGCAACACCCGTAGCCCGACATATGCCACTAATGAGGCTCGAGAATATCAAAGTGGAGCGTCGATCTCTCCAAGTTCCCAATGAGTGTAGTTGATTGTATATAAGAGTAGCGAGATCAATCTTGTTACCTCGAGCCAAGTGGTAAATGAATCCTGCTGTCTGATCTGGAAATGTAGTCCTGTGTGATATGGGCTCAACATTGTGGCACATAAAGAGCCATAGAATGGCCATGGAAGGGGTAAGCTCAATCTGATGCCACTCGGTAGTATCGAGGAGCCATGCATTCTCCCGCCCCATTAAAACCTCAGCCACTTCATTCCAGTGAAAGTCAATTGGGACAGGGACCACATTCTTCATGGTAAGCTGGTAGTAATCATGAATGACCTCGGGAGAGAACATAATCCATTTCCCCCGCACCCAAGTCTGATGGAAATGCTCGGAGCCTGGCATGTCAATGTCACTGTTGAAATTGGTGAAGAACTCTCGGCATAAAGTCTCATTGAGTGGATGCGGTCTCTCCACTAACTTTTGCCACCCACAGAGCTGAATTAAATTAACCAGCTCAAAACCCGGGAAGTCATCAAGCTTAACGGGTCTTCAGCATGTAAAGTCCAATGGCGTACGATGTTTTCATATCGTGCCGCGGTAGTTGCAGTTAAGAATCACTGAACTTCTCCCGCGAGTTCTCGAGTACGGGCTGTCCCGGTGGAGGAACTTGCTTTTTCTTTCTCGTGCAAAGTTCTTTTAGGAGGCATCCTGCAAAGTTTGTAAGATTACACTCATTAAGTTCGATGTGAAAAGAATAGACAAGAAATGAGAAAAATAAACTATGCATTACACAAATCCCCCAAACTTTCCTAAATGCATGTGTAGTAACATTGTGTGCACTAGACAAGATATGATGTTTAATTGAATTCAAGTATTTTGCCAATATGAAAGTTGGAGAAAAACTCGGCATAACTAAGCAACATTTCAGAATTTGGAACCATGATCGAGTGCACACTTTCGGCCCTTGACATCATTGAGAATTATCAAAATTTTCCCAGACAATCTCCAGGCATATCAAAGTATTCATTGAAGTGTAGCACATACTCGAATTTCAAACCAATTGGACATTGTTTGATGTGTTAAATGAAGATGCAAAATAGGGGACGAAGGGTGCCGTGTGCGGTGACCTAATTATGTGCCTTTGTATAGTCAAGTTTGGTTCTAGGAATTTCCAATTCATGTGTTAGGGTAATTCATCACATTACCCCAGTTTGTATATCCAACACGTAAATTTACTAAAATGCATAACTCACACATTGACAATGGATCAAACATGTAGCATGCCATTGTATGGGATCTCTAGAATTCCAACAATTGGAGTTTAAGTCATGCCCAAGATGACACACATTCAACAATCTAGCATCTATTACTATGAGATAAGTGCCTTTCAGGTTAATGTACGTAGGAATGCATCACAATATGTATTTTAATTCATTCACCAATCACAAGCAATGCAAGAAGCACCATAAAACATAGAATAGTCACTGTGGCATTTCATCAAACATATAGCATGCATAATGTGAAGGTATGACCAATGTAAAGAATTGAGTTTTAGAATCATTCCATAGTTCTCATAACACAATCACATCAAATCCACCCATACATGAACTAGCCCAATCTCCCTCAACTTCCCAAAATTGAAATTTCAAATGCGACTAACCCTAAAATGGAATCGAGAGGGATGGAAGAACAATTACCTTGTATTTGTAGGGGTTGAATTTAGTTAAAAAAAATGATCTCCTTTAGATGATAATGCACTTCAATAACGAGATTCGTGTGTAGTGTATGTGACTTGAACTCAATCGAGTGTAGAAATCGTCCCCTAAGATGATTTTGGACGTGAGAGAAATTGGGAAGAAAATTGAGTGGGTAATGAACCCACGCCTGATTTTTGCCATGCGGCCGCATGGCTTTAAGCTCTGCGGTCGCATGGTTCAAGTGGCTTTGGCTACTTAATTCACGGCCTCTGTTTGTGTAGTCGCACAGTGCGACCGCATGAGTAAAAATACTTTTTTTTGGAAGGAAAAAATAATAATAACAGGAATAAAATAAAATAAAATAAAAACACGTTTTATATCCCCAAAAACCCGACTTTTGATTAAAATTTCGATTTTCAATTGATGAATTGACCCGGCTCTCAACGTTCCCAATTATTCAAAAGCATACTTCCAAACATTCTGGGATGTGTATGGGTCGTAAACTCGGTACCCAAAACCAAATTTTTGTATTCAAAGTCATACATTGACATGTGAAATTTAGAAAACAAAATTTACCTCGAAATGCGTGAATTTCACACCCACTCACCCAAACTACTCCAATCAACCCGAACTCGTGCGTGATGCTTAGGGACTCGTGTGAACAGTAAATTAATTCCTAATCTAATGCAAATAGCATAATAAATTAAATAAAAATGATACAATAGGTTGCCTCTCACCCAGTGCTAGTTTATAGTCGATAGCTCGACTTTTCTACATCTGTTTCATTCTGGCATCTCGAGTTGAACGGTGAACTTTTGGTTGGAGAAGTCACCGCCTCAGTAGTGTTTTAGTCTTTGCCCATTAATAGTGAAGGTACCCTTAGTCTCATGGCTCACTTGTATAACCCCATATGGTAGGACTTTCGTGACAGTATAAGGACCCGACCACCTTGATATTAGTTTTCCTGGGAAAAGCTTGAGTCTCGAGTTATACAATAGCACTTTCTGCCCCACTTCGAACTCTCGCCTCTAAATATGCATGTCGTGCCACTTCTTGGTTCGTTCTTTGTAAAGTTTTGAATTTTCGTAAGCTTCCATTCTAAACTCATCTAACTCATTAAGTTGCAGTAGGCGCTTTTCACCGGCGGCGCTCAAGTCCATATTCAACTGTTTCATAGCCCAATATGCATATTCAACTGTTTCATAGCCCAATATGCTCAGTGCTCCATTTCTAGTGGCAGATGGCACGCTTTCCCAAAGACTAGGTGGTATGGAGACATGCCTATCGGGGTCTTGAATGCTGTTCCGTAAGCCCATAATGCATCGTCCAGCTTTTTAGACCAATCCTTACTAGATGAGTTCACAGTGACCTCGAGTATTCTCTTCAGCTGCTGATTAGATACCTCAACTTGCCCGCTGGTTTGTGGATGATATGGAGTAGCAACGTGGTGTTTAACGCCATATTTATTTAACAACTGCTCAAATTAGCGATTACAGAAGTGCTTGCCCCCGTCGTTGATTATAGCCGGGTGAAAATGTTTTTTTTCAAGAACCCAATTACTGCCTTTGAGTCATTTGTTGGCAGTGCAACTGCCTCCACCCATTTTGATCCGTAATCCACTGCTACCAAGATATACTGATTTGAGAACGAAGGGGGGAACGGTCCCATGAAGTCAATTCCCCAAACATCAAATATCTCCACTTCCAAAATGTTATCCAGTGGCATTTCATTCTTCCTCGAGATCTTCCCAGTGCGTTGACATCGGTCACACCTCTTGACAAACTCAAATGTGTCTCTAAACAGTGTAGGCCAGTAGAATCCTGATTGTAGAATCTTTGCAGCTGTTTTTGAAGCCCCAAAGTGCCTTGCATATGCAGATGAATGACAGTGCTTGAGAATCTCATGTACTTCTTCTTCAGGTATGCATCTCTTTACTATCTGATCAGCCCCTCGCCTATAGAGAATTGGGTCCTCCCAAAAATAATACTTCAATTCGGCGAAGAACTTTTTCCTTTGGTGACTCAAGTAGTCCGGTGGTGGGATGGAACTGGCCAAGTAATTGACAATATCTACATACCAAGGTGCTTCATCTACTCACAACATCTGCTCATCTGGGAAGATTTCATTGATGTCCACTAATTCTTCTGTCTCCCCAGGCTCTAATCGGGATAGGTGATCCGCTACTACATTCTCACTGCCCTTCTTGTCTCGTATCTCGATATTAAATTCTTACAGCAATAGCACCCAACGAATCAACCTCAACTTTGCATCCTTCTTTATGAGTAGATACTTCAATGCATGATTTGTGTAGACGATGACTTTAGACTCGACAAGGTATGACCTGAATTTGTCGAATGCATATACTACAGCCAATAGCTCCTTTTCAGTGGTGGCATAATTGATTTACGCTTCATTTAGAGTCCTACTTGCATAGTAAATTACGTGAAAGATTTTGTTCCTCCGTTGTCCTAATACTGCAACTCGGCGTGATCACTTGCATCACACATCAATTCAAAAGGGAGTTCCTAGTCTGGTGCCAAAATTATCGGTGCTGTCGTAAGCTTCTCCTTTAAAGTATTGAATGCTTTGGGGCATTTTTCATTAAACTCAAAGGTTACATCTTTCATTAGCAGATTGCATAACGGTTTAATGACCTTCGAGAAATCTTTTACAAATCTCCTGTAGAACCCTGCATGTCCCAAGAAACTCGGTGGTAACTTCTCAATAATGTAAATTTTTGCCCTGTCCACCTCAATTCCTTTTGCTGAGATTCGATGCCCGAGTACAATGCATTCTTGCACCATAAAGTGAAATTTCTCCCAATTTAAAACCAGGTTAGTCTCCTTACATCTCTATAAGACCAAATTCAGGTGCTCTAGACATTCATCGAATGAAGATCCAAACACTGAGAAGTCGTCCATGAAAACTTCAATAAACCTTTCAATCATATCGGAGAATATCGCCATCATACATCTCTGAAATGTGGCTGGAGCATTACAAAGACCAAAAGGCATCCTACGATAAGCAAAAGTACCATAGGGACAGGTGAAAGTGGTCTTCTCCTGATCTTCTGGTGCGACACGTATCTGATTATAGCCCGAGTATCCATCAAGGAAACAGTAGTGTGAATGTCCAGCCAATCTTTCTAACATTTGATCAATGAATGGGAGGGGGAAATGATCCTTTCGTGTGGCTGCATTGAGTTTGCGATAGTCGATGCAAACTCTTCATCCCGTAACTGTTCTGGTGGGAATTAATTCATTCTTCTCATTTTTCACCACTGTGATTCTCCCTTTTTTCGGTACCACTTGAACTGGGCTAATCCATGCACTATCTGAAATTGGGTAGATAATTCCTGCATCCAGTAATTTTAGTATCTCTGCCCTGACCACTTTCTTCATGTTCGGATTTAATCTTCTCTGACCCTCTGTACTTGGCTTGCAGTTTTCATCCATTAGAATTTTATGCATGCACAGAGAAGGGCTGATTCCTTTAATGTCAGCTATTGTCCACCCAATCGCCGTCTTGTTTTTTCTGAGTACCCTGAGCAATTTTTCTTCCTCCACCTCACTGACTGTATTCGAAATGATTACTGGAAGTGTATCTGACTCCCCCAAATATGCATATTTGAGATGTGGCGGTAATTGCTTGAGTTCCAAAACTGGTGGCTGCTGAATGGAAGGCAGTGGCTTTGTATTTCCCGTCCCCGGTTCCTCAAAGTGCCTCTTTCGGGTATATGGCGGGTTGGTCTTCAAAAATATTGCACATGTTTCAACTTCAAGAGACTCTGACTGGACTGGTTGGGGTTGTGCAATACATGCTTCATAGGCATCAGATGGGCCGTGAAGTAAGAACGTTTCTTGTACTGCCTTGTCAATAATGTCAACTTGATGACAGCTGTCAGATTCTGCTGATAATTTCATTGCCTTGAATACATTGAACGATATCTGCTCCTCTCCCAATCTTAAAATCAACTACCCCTTTGAACATCAATTAACGCTCTTCCTGTTGTCAGAAATGGTCTGCCAAGTATCAATGGGACGTCCTTGTCTTCTTCCATGTCCAAGATGAGAAAATTCGCTTGGAATATGAACTTCTCAACCTTGATAAGCACATCTTCAATCATTCCTCTGGGATGTGTCAGTGACCTGTCATAGTGGTTGCTTTAACTTCTCCCAAGCCGAGTTTTTTGAAAACAGATAGAGGCATTAAATTAATACTTGCACCGATGTCACATAATGCTTTATCAAAATATACTTCACCGATTTTGCAAAGAACAGTAAAACTCCCTGGGTCTTTTGGTTTTGTTGGGAGCTTATTCTAGATTCTGGCACTACATTCCTTCGTAAGCATAACTATCTCATGGTCTTCCAGCTTGCGTTTATTTGATATGATATCCTTCAAAAATTTCGCGTAGCTAGGCATCTGAAACAGTGCATCGACGAGTGGGATGTTGATATGGAGCTTTTTGAAGACTTCTAGAAATTTTTTGTATTATTGTTCCACTTTTTGCTTCTTCAAGCACTGTGGAAAGGGAATCGGGGGCTCATAGGGGTTGACTGTGACTTTGGCCTTACCCTGTGACTCTTCTGAATTTTCCTTTGAACTGGATTCCTTTACAACAGTCTCTTCTTCAGCGGGGGAAGATGTTTCTCTAAACACACCCGGTCTCTTGACATGGATTTCAGGCAATTGTACTCCACTTCAAGTTGTAATGGCCTTGGCTTGCTCTTTAAGATTGATTTCTGTATTACTTGGTAAGTTACCTGGCGTTCTGCCAGTCAATGCGATGGCTAGCTGCCCCATCTGAGTTTCCAAATTTTTGATGGCTACATAATGATTTTGAAGTGTTGCTTCAACTTTCTCCATGAATTTTCCTATCATATCTTCCAATTAAGGCCTCTTCTCTTGTTGTTGAAATTACCCCTGTGGCTTATTTTGATTCTGGTTGCTCCAAGAGAAGTTGAGATGCTTCTTCCAGCTGGGATTGAAAGTCTCTCCATATTGATTGTGTTGCTGGCATTGTCCCCACAGTGCATAGTCTGCTTGCTCAATTCCTTGCATGAGTATTCAGCAATCTGATGTTTTGTACTCGGCTCTACATTCCTCACAATTGCTCTTTTTAGCTTGTGATTCTTGGGATATGCTTTCCACCTTGTGATACAGAGAGTCAATTTTTGTAGATATTGCTGAATAAGCATCCACCTCATAGACACCTGGAGTTTTCTTTGGGATCGTCCTCTTAGAAGACCATATGGCTAATGTGGTAGCCATTCGCTCAAAAAATTCCAATGCCCCATCAACTGTTCGTGTGAATATTGAGCCATCTGATGTTGAATCCACCATGCTCTTATGGTATGGAAGTAATCCTGTGTAGAAGAATCGGATTTGGGTCTTTTTATCGAACTCATGCTGAGGGCACTTCCGGAGCATGTTTTTGAATCTGTACCAGGCTTCGTAGAATGATTCAGTTTCTCCTTGATTGAATACTGATATGTCATGCCTCAGCTTTGCTATCTTGGCTAGGGAGAAAAACTTTGTGTAGAATTTGTGTGCCAGCTCGTTCCATGTAGTGATACTCGTAACTGGGAGTGAATCCAACCATTCAAGTGCTCTGTCTCGTAGCATATATGGAAAAAGCCTTAACCTAATAACGGCATCCGAAATCCCTTGGTATCTGAAATGTTGACATATATCTAGAAATTGAGATACGTGTGTGTGTGGATTCTCCTCGGCTTTGCCATAGAATTGGTGTCCATTTTCAAACAGCTGTATTACATTGGTCTTCAATTGAAAATTGGGCTGCCCAAATGGTGGATATACAATGCTGGATTGCTTTGAATAACTTGAGGAGTCAAGAAGTCCCCCAGAATTTCATTTCCTTCATCCATTGCCTCTCCTTCGTTAGCTTGAATGATAGGATTGTTTAATTCGTTGGCCATTTGTACTTGTGCTTCGCGGTGATCTCTTTGTCGTCGATGAAAGGTGCTCTCAATTTCAGGATCAGCTGGAATCAATTCTCCTCCAGGCAATCGTGACATGTAAATCTGAGAATTAAAACCAGTACGAGCACTGAGATTCAAACAATTTAAATAACTAAAACACAAATAAAGGATAATAACCTAAAATAAAAATAAAAACAAAAACAAAATTATACTAGCAAAATAAGAATTGAGTTCGAATTAGTGTCTCGAAAAATAAAATTAAACTAAACTCAATCCCCGACGACGGTGCCAAAAACTTGTTCACGAAATTATTTTCTTTTGATTTAAAATTATCGCAAATGTACGGTTCGTTAACAAGTAATAAAGTGGATTAAATGAGTACGAATATCGTCCCACGGAGATTGATTAGTTCAAATTTTACCTACCTTAGCCTTAATCGAAACTAAATTACCAAAGTGAATGTAGACCTAATTGAACCTCAATTATGCAATTTTTTTATGATTAAATTGAAATTAATATACAAAACAATAATTTAAAATTCTAGAATGAAATCTAAAAGTTGAGAACGCACGTTGTTATAATTATTAGGAATGAAATACGCTAGGATCACGAATTTCCATGCAATTATCACTTTAAACCCTAGTTTTACAATATGGCAACACATTTCAATTTTGACGAATCAATGTTCCTAAGTCTATCCAATACTCTTTCTCGAGATGTATC